AGAAGGAAGAAAAGCCGGCAGGGCAAGCAAAACAAAACCGAGCCCCCATCCCCCTTAGCTCAAGGTCTGGATCTGCTAATGCACACAGCTAGTGCATTCCTAGGGATTTTTTTTTATGTCACCAAAGGGTTGTTTTCTTGGAACTTGGGAGAGTGAATGAATTGCATTCTTTGTGTTCTGACGAATGAGACGTATCAAATTGAACTCAGTAACCTCTGCCAACATACGAAAACGAAAGGCTTTGGTAGTTTTTCATCCCTCGGTCGTTACATAATTTTAACGTAACCCGTGGAACTTGCTTGAGAAACATGGCGTTAATTTCATTGAGTTCTAAGTGTTTTAACGCCGTGGAAACAGCTCTGGAGGCTGTGAAAAGCGGCGATGCTAAACGCTCGGCGGTCGTTCTGCGGTCCGTTCAGAAAGATGGGCAAATGTTGAAGCAGAAGGCTGCAATCCTTATTGATAAGCTGAGCAAGGCAGAGGAAGATCATAAGCGTAAGGTTGAGAACCTCACTCGGCAAATGAACGACCTTTTCGCTGAAGAGACGCAGCTTTCAAACAAAAAGCAAACATTGCAAAGTAAGAATTCCTCTTTGACCGACGAGAGGCAACGATACCAACGAAGCAAGGAAGAGGCCTCAAGCAGGTACCGAGAGGCGGAGAGGGCGAAGCGAGATGCAGAAAGGGAATATGAGAAAATGAAGCCTTTCTTCTGGATACCCATTGTTGGTTTGCTCCTTGCTATACTTGAGGACAGCTCAAAAAAGGCGTCTGACGCTTACAGAGAAATGCAGCGCCACGAAAGGGATGTCGATAAAGCAGAAAGTGATCTCAGATGGGTTAACTCTCGGATCTCTGAGGTGAGCTTCTTACATCTTTCATGTTTAGTGGAAAGCTTTTATCACTAAGGAGATCGATTGGCTGTTCATTTAATAAACAAGAATAGCGTATAACTTTATGCTGATTCCCTTACGGAATTTCCCTTCTGTGGAGCGCATATACCGTAGGCTGACGGTAGATTAATTTAAAGGATATTGCCTGTGACATTCAGTTTGACTCATTCCAATATTTGGCGATTGTTTCGAATGAACGTGCGTAAAAATGATTTTATTGTTGTCTGAGCTGTCAGAGTCTTCTTGTTTAAATGAACTTTTGCGAGAATTAATAGAAGTGGAAAATGTTGTTGACTCAGCATGTGGCATGAAAACCTCCAAACCCACGACAATGGAAAGCTAGACAACTCCTTTAAAGCAGTGCAATGTCGTTCAATCGACCACTTCTTCAGTAAAACAGAAGTGAACAGTTTATTGGCATGTTTGCCGTCTGGTTTCATTTGTTTCTTCGTTTTGCGTTGAGTTTTAGCTAAATTAGCAACATGGTGAACATTCGAAACCACAAATCGCGACGGAATTGCTGTTACAAATAGAGAGCTTTAAATTCGGCGCGTCTTTAGTTAGTTGCGTCGACGTGCTTGTGTATCGCGAAATCGTCTTTGCGAATGAGTCAATTGAAGTGATGTTGTCCCAACGAACTAAATTAGAACCTGAATAAGGGTCAGGGGCGCCCAAATAAGAGCAATAGACGTCAGGCGATCCAAATTTGCAAGCTGGCCTTTGCCAGTTTTAAGGACATATTTCTCCCTCTGAAAAAACAAAATGGTAATAAAAGAAATAAAGTTAATACTTGTCCCCGGAATATTTACATTTGTTCTTGACAAATTACTTGTGCTGTGATGGAAAATTAAAACTAACACGTTCTGAAGCTTTCACTCTTATCACACATGCTTCGTCAGCAGAAATGAATATTTTTCTTCGCGGCTAATTTGCGTTTTATTTCACTTTTAGTCTCTGGAAAGGTGATTCGTTACAAACGAATATAAGATGAAAGTACTTTTGCAATATGACTAAAGTTGGAGTTGACACGTCGCGGAATAAAACTCTAACTCGGCCGGTATCATATTTGAATTGAATTTCTTGGCCCGTTAATTAAGGCCTTCTGAACAAACTATTGCGCGGTCATGAAGCATAGGTAAGTTTTTGGTTTGTTTTCTTAGGTAGAGAGAGACCTAAAAGAGATTTCCCGAAAAGTAGATAGACTGAGGCGCGAACGAGAAGCTTGCCATGAGAAGCTCAGTGATATAAAGAACATGGTTTCATTTATCATGCAAGCTGTTGCATTCTGGGATGAAGTAGTCTCGGTGACGGAGACAGCCACAGTGAAAACTGAAAACCTCCAAAGGATAGTGAATCTGGCTGGCAAGAAAACCGACCCTGTAAGGATCCTGAAGAGTTCCGGTACCCGCACTATGATGGCGTCTTTTAAAGATCGTTGGATGGAAGTGGCAGAGATGATCAGTTCTGATCGAAACAATGTGATTTTTGACAAGGTAGAGCTTACTCAATTAATGCTCAAGTTTACTGGCTTTTCCTGCCACTCATAGAAATAATTTGAAGGCGAGACATTTATATAGTTCTAAATAAAAACCACATTCCCTTAAACTGAGACAGTACAGGCGCCTGCTACAGTTTTCAAGCGTAACTAGTTAGCACAAAGCATCGTACCTTTTAAAGCACTACATCCTACACTAGGGGTAATGTTTTCAGTTGAACGTTGCATCTAGTGCTAAAATGTTTTGCAGGAAAATGTGTTGTCACTTTGTCAATGCCCATCGGATTTAGGTTTCTAAGAATTCTTTCTTTTCTCTTTTCTTGTTTGTAGATAAAAAAATATCATTTTAAGGTAATTACTTAAGATATTTTTTTCATTGTTTTTCACTTTGTTCCTTTATTGATTTTGATTTGGTTTTGGTTAATTTTGATGATTTCTGGATATTTCATTGGATTGTAAAAAACAAAACAGAAAGGTGCATCATAATGTTCACGTCACGTCACATTGTCATCGTTGCATATTTTAGAACCTCGAAGGAAACACATTTGTCGCCGTGCTTTTAACCTTCCCGCGCCTATCGTGCATGGTTTAGTGCCCTCAAAGCTTTCCAGGGTGATTGCAATTGGCAGTGTTCACGATTGATGGTCGTGATGTTTATGATAATCAATTTCGTTTTGGCTTTCTTAGTTAAATGTTATAACCCCGGAGGGGTGTAAATGAAAACAAGTTCAATTGGTGTGAGAAAACCTTAATCGGAAGGATTCTGCGGGTTGCAGTAAAATGCTGCCATGGGCAAAAGGTTTTATTTGTTTATTAACGCACTTCCCTTTGTTGAGAAAATTATCACCAGTTTTCTTTAGGCTTGAAAAACGCGAAAGCTGTTTGAGAGTGACCAGCAGGCCTTCCGCCGTTAGAATGTTTTAGCCATTCGTTAGGCCTTCTTTTGGCTACTTCATTCGAATGTTTGGAAAGGATGACGTAATTCGCCATACGCGATCAGGCTTATGATAATTCAGACGATTAACTCATGTACTTCTTCCTTCAACAGGAAACACTGTGTCTTATGTAATCCTCTTGCTTTTGTGAGACGTCTGCCATGCAGTTTACTCTCTCAAGAACGCGCATGCAAGAAGACGCTTTGATGATAGAGAAACAAAAGTCAGTGGAGGGATCTTCTGCCACCTTAGAATGTTTTGGTACTAACATATAATGCGAAATTGAATACAAGTACAATTTTGCTGTTTTGCCAGTAGTGTCATAACCGCCCTATAGATAATTAGGAATTTTGTTTTCAGTTATAATTCCCAAATTTTTGACAAAAAAAAAGAGATGTGTATATGGAAAGCTCAATAAACACCTGGTAGCTAATCCTCAGTTTGTGAGCCGTTTGCTTGGCTTGTTTGTTACCACAAGAAAACCTGAGAAGAATCCTTCTGGCCTACAAACTTTGCAAAAAAGGTTTTATGATGAGATACATCTCGTATAACTTATTGTGAATTGATTCCAGTTGCTTGGCTGAGAAGTTTATCTCTGATCGTAAAGATATTTATTAAGCTAAAGAAGGATAAAATTCAACGCGATATTCGAGGTCAATCGTAGGTGTTTCATGGCTAGAAGCAAAGCCACACCAAATTGGACAGCCAGGAAGCAAGCCAGGTTTAAGCTGCGACTGCTTTGTAATCAATGAAACCCCCAAAAAGTCTTCCAAACACTGCTTCTAACAGCTGAAATAAACCGCCTTTGTTCGACTCTACTCCTCAATGTAATTAGCAATGCAGGTAGCACGGTGTTACACGTTTTCACTCGCGTGGCAAAATCGTGATTACATGCATCACGTTTCTTTGAGGACCTCAGGCCCGTCCACACTGCGCAGGTGGAATTTAAAAACGCAACAATCACCGGTCATTTTGGATTTGTGTTTGAAGAAAACTCGGGCAGGGAAATCACATGATTATGGTGACGCCATCGTTTTCGAAAAGCTCTGTTTTCAAAATGTTTTCAGTCCAGACGAAAGCGAAGAGCCGGCGTTTATCAATTCCTTCATTTTTAAGCAAAGAGCGTTTTCGAAAAGCTCCTTTTTCATGACGGATTAGTGTGGACGGTAGGCCCAACCGAAGAAATAAAGCTGCGTTTTCAAATTCCTCCAGCGTAGTGTGGATGGTACCTCAATAGAACGGTTTAACGTTTCCGTGAAAAATTGAATTGGTAGACACTTGGTAGACACTTGGTAGAGAAGATGTAAATAAATACTTTCGCAACCAACGTGACCTATGGTCATCTATGCGCTTGCAATATTGAATAAACGACAAGACAAGGTATAAAATACACTTTCATTTATTTCGATCTGCAATTTAGATCTAACGACACGACCATTTTCATGAGAAAAAACACTCCGTGAAAAAATGTGTGCTGAAAAATAGAGTTAATGTATTTGGTCTTCTTTACAGACGAAAAAGATTGTCACCTAACGTTCGCGGAAAAAGCGTTGTGTGACGACTACCTGATGTGTTGCATGACATCGATCTCTGGCATTGCCAATAATTTCTTTTGCAATAAACTTTGTTACTGTTTTAAGCGAGAGCTTCCTCGAGAAAGTTTCTCGGAAATTGTTTCCGTCTAAACACTAACACTTGCTTTCACAAGTGTTCATTATATTAAAATCGTTAAAGCTTCGAGTAGAGTATTTTTTTGTGTGTGCTTTTCATTCCTGGAATAAATAGTCATAAAATTTCAAAATGGCTATGAAGGCTCCGTCGTAAAAAGGTAGAAATTTGCGAGTATGAATTTTGAGGAAAAAACTATCATGAGATGATTTCATAATTACTATAACGATCTAGTTAAGTAAAATAAAAAAAGGAAACCTGTGTAACAGGAGAGCCCAATTGGAAATAACTTTACTTCAGAGAACTTCGGTGTTCTTCGTAGAAATATTGGAAACGTTCGGCAATTACCGAGCAGGTACTCTCGGCCTTCTCGAATAGTATTTCGTGAAGAACATTGGTGTAACAAGGACTGAAGAGTATAATGTCAAGGAACTAATAATCTAGAAGAAAACTACTATAACCAGTTAAAGTTCGTCTCTTTTGTCATCCGGCTTGCTATCAGGCTGATCAGGGGGGAGGGGGTTAGGAGGTGCCTTCATGAAGGCCAAAAAGTCTTGCTCTGTTCGGTCTCCATCGTATTCCACCACAAAAGAGCCATATCTGTAATATTTGATGGTCGGGTAACCGTTGACGCCTTGTTTGTCGCACAAATCTGTGTTGAAAAATTCAAACAAGTTTAAAGATCAAGACATTTCAAATTAGTCCTTCCCAGACCTTTTTCCATTAAATAGCTTCACGGAGTCGAGGTCTTATAGCAGCACGGGAATACCGAACACTTCCCAAAATTCCAAACGTCTTTCCAAACCCTTCCCATGGGCCTCCAGTTTCTGACGATTACCAGGGATTGGCAATGAGAATCGATTAAATGACATCATTCATTGCCCTGTAGCGGGCGAATCCTCGCTTTTATTCCTCAAGAATCTACAATAATTTTGACCGACTTACCGCTGTCTTGGGTGCAGTCCACAGTAGTAAACGCCTTGCTTGGTTCATCGGCAAATGCTTCCGAAGCTTTTAGGAATTTGGGCTTTGCGTTCTGACAATGACCGCACCCTATATGCGAAAAGGAAACACGTTCACTGCTGTGCTTTGCAAATTTTGCCTCGTACCTCCCCTTTAACGTGTTAAGCATGCAAAAAAAAAAAAAACCTATGTACAATTTAACCCAAGCATAATGTTAGTCGGGTCACTTTTCGTGTTACTTACATGGTGCGTAGAACATGACTATGACGTGCTCTGTTTGGGACAAGAACGTTTCAAAGTTTGCAGCCGTCAAGATCTTTAACCCTTCTGGTTCGACGTCTTTGCCAGCTTCCTTTTCGTCGGGTATATTGTGCGAACCGCTCATTCTACAAGAGAAAGATAACCAACGTAACCTTATCGCAAATTGCATGCGATACCCTCCATCTAAAGCCTACTTGAGCTCAATGTTAAATCACTTACTGAACACAACCAGAAGTTGTTACCGCTTTTAAAAACAACTTCGTAAAGACCCACGTCCAAAACTTTTGAAAGACAACAGGCCATTTTCAAGTAACCTTACGCCTCAGTTTCAAAACGAGTCCTCGTTCAAAACCTTTCAAAAGAAATGAGTTTGATTTGCATGAGAGTATAGGTGTTGGCGGAATACATTTCCATATGAATGGTTTCGGAGTCGGGGTCCATAAACTCGCAAAAAAAGAACGAGGCCAATATCCAGCCATCCTGACCGAAGCTTGGTCAATAAAGGATTTATTACATAGCTTTCGGGGGAATTTTTCTTGCGGGACACGGCGGGTAGTCCCGAGCGGGCAAGATGGCTCTATTTTGCCCGCTCGGGTAGCCAATCACAGCGCAGGATTTGATTCATCTTGCGCGCTCGCGGAGCTAACCATATAATAAAAAGAGATATAAGCAACTCGGAAATAAATTGTTTTCGTGGAACTTCAACCATGTGCAGTTAAATATTTAACTCAGGTAAAGAGCTAAATGAACAGACTTACGTTTTCATAAAAGTGACTAAGTCCTCCGCCGATCTGTCACCCTCGTATTCTTTATCAAATGCGCCGTTTCTACAAAATAATTACCTTATGGTTATAATTGTTTTAGTTTTAATTACTCAAAAAGCAATAAGCAACTAAATTCTCCTTACAATATCAATCTATGTCAAGCACACAGGTGACGAGAATCAAGAAAATGATCAACTTTGTCGCATGTAGCCTCGAAGCGTCTTGTAAAGTGAAAAGACCTTAAAAATGTCATAACAGCAAATTGGAGTTCACAAACAAAGCAAATCGCTGTTACTTACTTGAAGTACCTCACTGATAGCCGGTCGAAGAAAAGAAATATGAAAAACAAAATAGACCAGAAAACATGTACAGGTAATGAGATCTGGTATAAAAATCGTGAAGTACTGTCAATTTAAATAAACAAGACCAGCGTACGAGGAACATTCAATTCCGTATGTTTAAAAAACTACGCCTGGTGCCAAATCTTTCAAACAGACAAGAAACTGAGTAGAATGAAAGCGGTGAACATGAGGGTAAAGCATCAATTTCAAGCTGATGTAAGCAACTCAGAAATACCATTTTCTCCGTGCGAAATTTGTGTTTTAAGGTGGCTCAAAACAGTTTCCAGCACTTATATCTGGATGGGTCGTTATAGCCACTCTTTATCACTTGATGCCACAATCATGGTATCAAAAAACTGCCCAAGCATTGGTGAACACGTTGTCATCATTTTCATGACACAACAGGTTACCAT